GTCGAACAAAATGGTGCCGCCCAGAGAGCGCTAAATGGAATGGTCTATAGAAAGCTCGCCCTGGAGAGAGCGGGACAACTAAAACCCCTCCCTGCTGTTCTCCTCCAGCATGTGACTATGCGTTCTAAAGGCCCGTTCACACTCTTGCGACCGAGTAAGACCGAGAGAGACCAGTCCGGTTTTTAAGCCTCTTGCGATCTCTTAGGACCAGCTCCGCTGCAGTGCATCCGGTCCTAAGAAGTCGCAAAAGGTTTAAAACCCGGTCTGGTCTCTCTCGGTCTTACTCGGTCGCAAGAGTGTGAACGGCGCTTGACACGTTTCCCCCAGTGCAGCGGAGATGAAAGTTGACTTCGTCTCCACTGCACTTGACGAACGCTTTAGAACATGGAACGCCGGCGTCCGGCATTTGGCTCTCGCACTCGAACGCCTTCGACGAGTGCAGCGGAGACAAAGGCAGCTATTGCCTCGCGTGTATACGCATTCGTGATTTCAACCAGAGTTCGGCTGGTTCGGCGTTCTGAAGCATCTCGTCTCCTCCTCTCCCTCTGCTTCTGCCCGCACGATGCGCGCTGTATCTGCACGCCCGGCAAGCACTCGTTGAGTTCGAGAGGAATTCCAAAATCACTGGCGAATCTCGTTAGACTTTGGCTAGGTGGCGGAAGCTACCGCACGTTACCAAGGCTATAGCCATTAGCAGCGGCGGGGATTGAAGCTAACATGAGCACGCTGGGATTCCATTTCTCATGTGTTTTGTCAATAAAGGCAACGTTGGCGTTATTTTGTTTACATGCCACTACTAGAAGCTCGTTACATGGCACGTAAACCGCGTCTCGGTAAAGATCATAGCCCGGGCCCGGGGGGGGGGGGGGGGGGGGGGGGGGGGTTCTGCCCCCCCCCCCCCCCCCCCCATCCTTGGATCTGACCAGGGGGGGCACGAGCCCCCTCCCCCCCTCCGAAGTCTACGCCTATGGCCATTAAGATCCATCGATCCATCCAGCTGTCTGATGATGGTCGAGTCACGATACCCGATGATGCCGACATATTATATTTCGTTTGACTTTATGACCGCAGCCGACGCTATACGACCCGACGGAGACAAGCAGCGCTAAAGGCGCCACGGCGCTCCTTGTCTCTCTGGGTGTGCACGCACCACCGACTTCATGCACAAAAAAAACAAAAACAGGATTGTTGCGCATGCAATGCGCGTGATCGGCTCAGTCGGTGGTAGCGAACGTTAGCACTGATTTGCCACCAGAAAAGCAGGATACCCTTACAAGCTATTGTAGCGAAGTTTTGCTGGCTGTTTATTCTAGCTTTACTTTATGTTTTTTACCATCTTCGAGAGTTCGTTCGTCTCTACGGCACCGCTCGTGGATTCTGCCGGAGTCGGGGGGCCCCGAATGGAGGCGAACGTGAACGCTGTAACTCTACACTTAGTTTATAGAACCCCGCGTCGGAGATGTTTTGCCTTGTGCATGTCTGCTTTTGGGATCTCCACTATGGGGGTGGTGTTGCTCCGTGTGTATACCTTTTCTGCCTACGAATATCCTTTCTATTGTTTATGACTGCTATTGGGAGCTTCGTTCGGAATGCGTTCTGTCTCGTGTGGGCTCTTGTGTCTGGAATGTTCGTATTTGCTTTGGGCTCCGAGCCCTTTCAATGGCTCTCTCGAAAACCTTCTGTCATATGTTGTCAAAGTGGCTCCAGAATTCTGCCAGAGGTGTGGACACCATGCCGTGAACATCACCCTGCCTCTGGAGGCCAACCTGCACGCCCGACACCCTTCCGCCTGTGGTGTCTTCCGCCCGCTAACTAGCAAACTTGGGACCCCTTATGGCTGTGGAGGAGTTCGGCTCGCCCGCCTTTGAGTGGATCCTTGTTTGTCGAGTTCGGCTGTGGCTGGGGCACCCGCTGAAGGTGTGCTCGAGGACGACGAAAGGGGAAGTCTCCAGAGGTTAGGAGTATTTCTAATCCAAAATTCCTTGACGAATTGAACATATTTCTCACAAAAGAGTCTATCTCATATTCCTGAAATAAACGGGTGTTTTGTTAATAACAGTATTTTCATCATCGAAGAAACAATCCAATCTTTCTTCGTTACACTATTGTGCTCCTTCGTGGACACTTTGTTTATTTTAGCTCGCGACATCTGGCTCAAACACACTATCGATACTGGAACAGAAGCACCCATACGCAACCGTCCGTATCGAGTTTCACGTTCAGAACGAGAAGTCAATTAGAGCCACGTGAGTGACATGTAACGACAAAATATAATTGAAGAATCCGCGAGTCCCTAGCCAACTCTCGTAATGCTCGTGAAAAAAAAAAAAAAAAAAAAAAAAGACGGCACATGGCATTTTGCTGCTGACTATAGACGACTTAACAAAGTTACCAAAAAAACATGTCTATCCCCTTCCCCGAAATGATGGTGCCCTCGATACGTCACGTGACGCCAACTATTTTTCGTCGAATGACATCCGCTTCGCTATCCTGGAAAATTAGCGTGGACGAAGATGATCGGTAAACGAGTGTTCGTTACGCCCGATTGTTAGCGAAATCCGAAAACGAAGGGAGCAACATTGGGCAGACGGCCATAGATGCGGGCAAGATGGCGGCACGCAAGTGTGCGTTCGCCGCACGTGTAACCTTTAATTTTATTTTCCTGTATTAAAGTCTTTTATTTTCCTAAAAGTTCGTTTAATGTGAGGAAAGACAACATCTCAGAAGTGGGATTCACCGAAACCTTCGTGGTGAGGCGATCCTGGAAGCCGATGTCGTCGGATTGCACCGACGGTGATGCTCGCTGACTTTTCAATTGGCGCTACGGACAGTGCCGAGCCCGTGCCGTCGTCGTGAGGTAGCGGCGTAGCGGCCGTGGAAAGTGGGCTCTTTGTGTCGCCTGCAGACTGCGTGTATGTGGACGCTGTCTCAACGGGTACCGTCTTCGTGAGGTGCCGACAGCGGAAACGTGAGTCTTCGTGCTACCTCGTGGGGACCGTGCGTGCGGACGCTCTGTGTGACGTCTGTACGCCTAGACGCATAACCGAAGGCGAAAAAAACAAAAACGGCAACTGTGTGTACGCCTAGGAAGACGTCTAGACAACCCCAAGATGGCTAACGACAACGGAAACGAGATAATGCAAGCGCTACTGGAACAAAACCGAAGGTTACTCGACCTCGTCGAGAGGAAACCAGAAACGTTTCATGTTATGCCGGACCTCAATAAGGCTGTTCACGACTTCGACGGCGAGGGGTCGTCACACGAGGCCGGGGCGTGGCTCAAGAGTATTGACTCCATGGCAGTTCTGCACGGCTGGCCGGACAGCTTCAGGCTAGAGAACGCCAGGCTCTATATGAAGGGACCTGCTCGATTTTGGCTTCAGGCCCGTGTCGAAGACCTTACTACGTGGGAGGACTTCAAGGTGGCCTTTAGAAAAACCTTTGTGGGCGAAACAAGCACAGCCGAAAAATGGAAGCAGATGCAGGAGAGAATCCAGATGAGGGGAGAGTCTACCACTGCTTACTTCCTCGAAAAGACCTTGTTGTGCAAGGAATTGGGTCTTGGTATGCAAGATACCAAGGAGCAAGTTTTGGTTGGGCTGCGGTCTAGAGACGCGTGCATCTCCTTGACGGCAAAGGAGCACAGGGACGAGGATGAATTGTTGGCAGACTTGCGAAGGCTGGAGAGAATAAGTGAATCAAGGATTCAGATGTCTCCAAGGGGCAAGCCACACAGCGGTGAGCCAGGTGCAACACCTCGCGTCGGGTCATCAACCTCAAGGTTATGGGCTAGTGCACGTCCAACCGAGCAGACAACTAGTGGAATACGCCTCACAGATCAGAAGGGTGTGGCCAGAGGCTCAGTAAGTCAGGGAAGTAACATGATCATACCGACGGATCAGGCAAGTGCTGGGGGACCACCCAAGAAAACACCGGAATCCTTGAAGCGAGATCAAGCCGAGCGAAAATGCTACAGTTGCGGAAAGTATGGACACATGGCGAGAAACTGCGCAGCAGCAAACCCTGTTGGCAACTTTGTGGTGAATCAGAGTTCAGGTGACAGTGATCCAGCTAAATTCCTGAAGGCTGCTCTTATCAATGGAACTCACCAGCTCTCGGTGATGATTGACCCTGGAAGTTCAGACTGTATATTGCGTCATCGAGCGGCTGAAAAGTGTAACCTACAAGTTGTGTGCAAGGGCCAAGACTTGTATGGCCTTGGGAACACCGACACATCTACAGTGCGGTCCATTGGAACTTCGGAGGTCGACATTGAAATCGACGATGTGGTGTGCCATAAGGTCAAGGTGATTGTCGTCAACGACAGTGCCCTGCCTGTGGACATGCTGGTCGGTAGGACCTGGACGGAACAAGACCACATCGCATACCTGCGCATGGGAGATGAGCTCAGGATTGGCTACCGTGATGATCTTCCGTTTTGTGACATCGACCTTGCCCAGATAAAGCCTTCCAAGGAACCTCTGCGTGTCAAGGAAACCATGGTGCTGCCCAAAAGAACTGTGTGTTGGGTGACAGTGGAGACTGGTAAGAGTGAAGGAAGTCTCATCGTACCTGGTGGGACCGACAAGGGAATGCTGCTTCACATTGAACACGGAAGGGTTGAGATACCTGTGTTGAACGACAAGGATGAAGACCAACAGCTGCTCAAGGGAAGTTTGTTTGCTCACGCAGAATTGCTCTCGGAGAGTGAAGAGTTAACCCCAGTGAGGACTGTGCCTCAGCAAGAGCCCATAGATCGTGGCATGCTGAATGTCGGAAAAGACATCAATGAACAGCAAGTGGATGCACTGCTGAAGATGCTGAATGAGTATAGGGACTGCTTCGCACTGAATTTGTCTGAGTTGGGGTGTTGCAACCATCTAGAAATGACCATCACGGAGAAACCTGGAAGTACCCCAGTCAGCTGCAAGCCGTACAAGACTAATGCGGCGGAAAGGGAAGCGATCCAGAAAATTGTCGAAGAGTGGAAAGCGACTGGTATCGTCACCGAAACAACGTCGCCATATGCTAGCCCAGTGCTACTCGTGAAAAAGAAAAACGGAGAAAATCGTCTTGTCATAGACTATCGACGGCTTAACAGCCAGACTGTGCCAGAACACTTCCCATTGCCAAACATTGACGACCAGCTGCAACGACTGTCCGGTGCACGAATGTACTGTGTGTTAGACTGTGCAAACGGATACCTCCAGCTTCCACTGAGTGAGGAATCGAAGGCCAAAACTGCATTCATCACGCCTGATGAGACTGGACAGTTTGAACGTATGGTGTTTGGGCTGAGAAATGGCCCGGCTGTATTTCAACGTCTGATGAACAAAGTCCTTGGGACTCTGCGCAACAGTGTAGCATTGTGCTACATGGACGACTTGTTGATTCCAGCCAAGGACTGGGAGGACTTGCTGGTTCAGCTCAAACAAGTCCTGGATGCTCTGCGGGCTGCCGGACTAACCCTGAAACTCTCCAAGTGTGTGTTTGGAAGTGATGAACTTGATTACTTAGGCTTCAAGATTGTGAAGGGCTACCTAAAGCCAGGTGAAGTGAAGCAACAAGCCATACTGGAAGCTAGCCCGCCGACCGATGTTCACGGGGTCAAGAGGTTTCTGGGCCTGACAGGATTTTTCAGACGGTTCATTCCGCACTATGCACTGAAGTCAGAACCTCTTACTCGTCTGACCAAGAAAGACACAAACTTTACATGGGGAATCGAGCAACAGGAGGCTTTCGACCAGCTCCGAAGGGAACTAACAGAACCCCCGATACTGAAGTTGTTTGACCCTTCAGCCCCAACTGAACTCCACACGGATGCAAGTATGCATGGACTTGCGGGAATGATTCTTCAGCAAGACGAGTCAGGACGCTGGCACCTGGTGTTTTGTGTCAGTAAGCGCACTACTGATGCCGAGAAGAACTACCATGCAGAAAAACTAGAACTCATGGCAGTAGTCTGGAGTATGGAAAGACATCGTCCATTCCTTCTAGGCATTCCGTTCACGCTGGTAACAGATTTTCAGTCAATCGTGTACCTCAATGCACACAAGACTCTTAAACCACAGATAGCAAGGTGGTTTGACTTGCTACAGGAGTATGACTTTGAGGTGAAGCACCGTGCAGGTGAGAAAATGGCTCATGTGGACTACCTGAGTCGCGAACCCGTAGGGGCGTCGGAGGACACCCTTGATGAGGTCGTCGAAACCAGGGTTGAGGTTTGCCTCACTTTAGGGTTAGAAGACCAAGTTGTGGTCATCCAGTGATCTGACGCAGACTTGGCTAACCTCGCACAGATTCTGGAGAAGCCAATGAAGAAAAGGACCAAAGAGGAAAGTATCAAGGTCAAGAATCTACGACTGAAGGATGGAAAGCTGTTTTACGTGGAGGAAGACGGACGGCTCCTTTTTGTGATGCCTAAGAGCATGCGTAAAACACTGTGTGTCAAGTTTCACGACTTGCAGGGACATTTCAGCACAGACCGAACTGTGTCGAAAATCAAGGAACTCTATTGGTTTCCTCGGATGAAGCGCTATGTGCATCAGCACATCCGTATGTGTTTCGAGTGTCTGTTCACGAAGGTACCAGGAGGGAAGAAGCCTGGACTTCTGCACTCTATACCGCCTGGGAAGAGGCCATTTCAAGTTGTACACGTGGACCATGTTGGTCCGTTTGTGAGAAGTTCCAAGAAAAACCAGTGGATCTTGGTGCTGGTGGACAATCTGACTAAGTTCGTACGCCTCTACCCCGTGCGAGACACTTCAGCAAGGAATGTACTACGGTGCGTGCAGAGTTTTGTCACAGAGTTTGGACTACCTAAACGCATCATTTCGGACCGTGGTTCCTGTTTCACATCCCACAGCTTTGAGGCCTTCTGCCGGGAAAATGGTGTAGCCCACACACTGAACTCGTCACACCATCCAAGGGCGAACGGCCAGGTAGAGCGAGTAAACCGAACCCTTGTACCGTGCATTATGGCTACAATCGAGAACCCAACTCACAAGGATTGGGACCAGAACATCAAGGAGGTAGAGAGCTACCTGAACATAGCATATAATGCCTCAACAGGCACTAGCCCCTTCAGGCTTCTGCATGGATATCAACCAAGGATGCAAGACGGTGTCCTCAGATGGCTAAACACGGAGAATGATGAGTGGGTATGTCCAGAGCAACTTCAAGAGACGGCGCAAAATGACATAATGACCCAGCAAGGAAAGTCGAAGCAGTACTTCGACAGGCATCACTTCGCAGCGGAAGGGCTGAGCGTTGGAGACGTAGTCGTCATGCGCTGCATTCCAGAGCACACCGGCGTCCCGACAAAAACCCAGAAGAAATTCAGAGGCCCACTGACTGTGACGGAAGTACTCCCAGCGGACACCTACAGAGTGACCGAAATGAATGGGAAGAAGAGGGTCTACTCAACAACCGCCCACGTCAGCCAACTGAAGAGATGGGGTGGAAGATGCCAAGAACCGTCCGACCAATCAAGCACCGACGAAGAAGACAGTGTGCCGAGACGCAGCGTGCGTGTGCCCAAAAGACCTTCGTACCTTGGGGACTACGCCACATGAACTGAGGACAGTTCGCTGCCAGGAGTGGCCGAGTGTTAGCGAAATCCGAAAACGAAAGGAGCAACATTGGGCAGACGGCCATAGATGCGGGCAAGATGGCGGCACGCAAGTGTGCGTTCGCCGCACGTGTAACCTTTAATTTTATTTTCCTGTATTAAAGTCTTTTATTTTCCTAAAAGTTCGTTCAATGTGAGGAAAGACAACACGATGAACTTTACAAGTTTCGAGTCATGCCTTTTGGCTTGTGCAATGCTCAAGCTACTTTCGAACGAATGACGGATTCGCTACTACGCAGGCTGCTGAGGACAACCTGCCTGTGTTACCTGGGTGACGTTGTTATCTTTTCGTCCACTTTTCCCGAACATCTCAAATGACAACTGTCAAAAATGGTAAACTGTTTTAAAATGCTTTCGGAACGTCAGCCATCAGCTCAACTCTAAAAAGTGTCTGTTTGGTACACGAGAAATTCAAATTCCAAAACATGTCGTCAGCCGTCGCGAAATATCCCCAGACCCGACGATTCATTCGCGTATTTGCAGCCATTTCTGCTCCTTTAAACTCTTTCTTCAGGGAAGATTGACCGATCGCACACTCTAAGAGAAAAAGGTTCTACTCTTGCACCCCGTGTCACTTTGAATAAACCCACAAAACTTTCGTTCGACGCACAGCGCACTCACGTTGAACCGACAATACCAAATTTCACGAGCGGCTTGATAGCTGAGCTGTACACCTTATTGAAATAGCCAATGCACGTGTGACTGACTGCAAAAAATAAAAAAAAAAGTAATTGGGGTTTTTTTTGGTCTTACTGCAGAACCTCAGGGATTTTTTCGGAAGTCTTGGATGCGTACGTTAGCTGTTTGCTTTGCTATATCGCACCGTCATCCAGCCCATCGTGAAAGTTGGGGTGGTCAGTCCAACGTCAGTGCGGTGTACGCCAAACTGAACTTTTGGGGCGCATTATATGCAACAGAGTGTAAGGGCTACGCCCTTTTTTCAGAGTGCATGTTCTTAAGATCAAGAAGATGCATTCGCAACCCGGAACACCGCACTGACCACCGAGCCAAGCTTGGCACATATTGACCCTGCTCTTGATATCGAAATTCACACCGATGCTAGCGGTTATGGACTTGGTGCGGTACTGATGCAGAAGCAAAGACGCCCGAGAGCATGTTGTCGCATATGCGAGCCGAACTACTCCATCACTGAAAAAGGATGCCTAGCCGTCATTTGGACAATCAGCAAGTTTAGACCTTAATATTTGGGCGTCCGTTTAAAGTGGTTACTGACCACCACGCTCTGTGCTGGTCATCAAACTTGAAAGATCCGTCAGGACGTCTGGGACGATGGGCACTACAACTCCAAGAATACGACGTCTCAATATTCTGTAAGTCTGGAAAACAACACGACGCGCCTGACTGCTTATCTCGCAGTCCCATCTCGCCATTCCCAGAAACTCCCTCTTCTGCCTTCGCCGCAACTGCTCTGACCTGTAGTGGAGACGTTCGGTACATAAAACTATTTATTACACTTGACTACACAAGGTGCAGCAATACATGACCGCGTTGGCCCCAGTGCGGGCGTGTCTCTCTGATCCCGAAAGTGTAACTCGAAACTGTTTGCTCAAACGCCCGCGCCCTCCGGCGCGGCGTTTGAGCAGGCTCTAGTTGCCAGACGCCGAAGGCGAAACCGAAACTGAACGTGTGGCGAAACCAAAACTAGACATGCGATGCCCACAGACCTCTAGTTTCGATTTTGCTCTGGAACAAAGAAAGGCCCACACTTACAACATATTTTCAACTGCCTCAACAAAACCCACCTCACCCGTGTGGGATATTGCCACCAACAAAGTTAACGATTGCGGGAATTCCTGTGGTCTCCCTTCCCTGATGGCTGTGATAACGGCCGCGGGTCTGAACGCTCGGCCGCCTTCGCCGTAAGCTCCGACCTGTTCGTGAAGCCAAGGGTTCCCTGTCTTGGAGCGCCCTCCTCTCACTCTCTCCCGGGGGAGACCTTTTTCCGTCCCCCCGCTCGGATGCGAATCTCTGCTGACAGGCGAGGAGGCAATTTCGCCTCGACTTTTCCCGCTTTCGGGAAAGAGACTAGTGCGGCGACCGCGAACAAGATAGGACGTGTGTCGGCGATTCTCCGATGCTTCCCCGGTCTTGGCTCTCCGGAACCTCGCGTCTGGCAGGTAAGGACCTTACTTTGCCGGCGCGGGAGGGCATTTTGGATGGATACATTGCAGTTCTTTTAGAAGAGTACGCTAATAAATGTTCCTGGCCTCTCTCCTTACTCTGATACGTGCGTCTTTTCCGCTATATTCGAGAGAGTGAGACAAGGTAGTCGATCATTGGCACCGACGGCGGTAATTTATCGAACCGACCCGCGGTAATGTAGCCCTAAACGTCGTCTACATTGCCGCGGAGATGTGCGGACCGCGGGCTACTAGGTTTGACGGCTCCTTTGAGATCGCCGCCGCTGTTGAGACGACCCTTTGGTTACTTTATTGGTACCTGTGTTGGTATCAATATCTCACACGATAGAGTAACCAAAGGGTTATCTCAACAGCGGCGGCGATCTCAAAGAAGACGTGAAACCTAGTAGCGCGGTTCCCACATCTCCGCGACAATATAAACGACGTTTAGGGCCACATTACCGCGGGTCGGTTCGATAAATTACCTCTGTCGGTGCCAACGATCGACTACCTTGTCTCACTCTCTCGAATATAGCGGAAGAGAAGACACACGTACCAGAGCAAGGACAGAGTCCAAGAGCATTTAATTAAACACTTTTAAGGAACTACTATGTCCAAATCCAAGATGCCCCCCGCGCCGGGAAGGTAGGAAAAGGTCCTTTTCTGTCAGACGCGGTGTTCCAGAAAGCCAAGACCGGGAACGCATTGGAGAAGTCGCCGATACACGTCCTATCTGTTTAGCGGTCACCGCACGAGTCTCTTTCACGAAAGCGGGAAAACAAGAGGCGAAACCTCCTCGCCTCCCAGCAGTGATCCGCATCCGAGCCGGGGGGAGGGGGGGGGGGACGGAAAGAGGTACCCCCTCCCCCGAGAGAGTGAAAGACAGGGTACCCTCCCAAGACAGGGGATCCTCCGCTTCATGAACAGGTCGGAGCTCACGGCGAAGGCACCCGAGCGTTCCGACCCGCGGCCGTTATCGCAGCCATCGGCGAATGGAGATAACAGGAATCCCCACACCCGCCACGATCCACGGCTTGTTGGCTCCCACACAATGAAGAATAATGTGCTGTATCGTCGCAACTGTGACCCACAGGGCCCTACTCCGCCCTTTGTTGCTCCAAGACATCTCCGACCTCATATCTTAGGTGCTTTACATGATGCCCCCACAGATGCAGACCTGGGCTTTATTGGAACATATATGAGCGTACGTCATATCTCCTACTGGCACGGCACGTATCGCGATATCTCCAAGTACGTAGCCTCATGCGTCCAATGTCAGTGACGAAAAAGGCAAACGACCGCACCAGCTGGACTTCTACATCCTCTCGATCCACCTCGCTGCCTATTTGAATGGGTCGGTACCGACCTGCTGGGGCCCCTTCCCCTTACACACAACGTGTCCCTTGTATGCTGTAGCTGTCATACTTTCCAGTATGACAGCTACCTTGCCTCCTTTCCAGGAGGCAAGGCAAGCAGGAATGGCGTGGTCGGAGCCTCCAGAATAGAGCCGGGACTAGAGTTCAGTTTTCAGTGAGTTCGCAACCGCACCTGCAAGCCGTTATCGGCTGCGAGAAGCAACGGGACGTCCGACACCCCTAGGGCAGCACTCGGTCGGTGGTGGTGTGACCCCTCCCCGACTCGACGAGGTGTGCGATGCCAGCTGGAATGCTGTGTTTGGAAGTCTCCCAATTAAAGTCAGGACGAGACACAGAACATCACAACTGCCTTCTTGTAATGATGCAGAGGAGTCAACTGAACCTTGAGATAAATATATTTAAGCACATCTAGATGCGATGTCTCTTGAAGCCACATGGTCAGGGAAGATGAGTGCCATTGCCTAAATTGCCAACAGCACACCAATGGGCACAATCAAAATCTGCCGATCTGATGGTCAGTTTTCCACCACAATATTTATTGCCGTACGTATGATCACTTATTTGACCCATTAAAAATCTTAAGGCTGTAGCCTATAGCACACGGATTCTGGATCTGCATACCATATGCTGTAGACATGCAACATCACATGAACATGTTTATTATCAATCCTAAGCGTAAAACGCTAGTTATGCACCGAAATTCCCATATCGGCACATTTTTAGCAAATCTAATGGTCCTACTTGTTACACTTCTAGCTTTGGAAGCAAACCAGTTCACAACACCACTAGTGGCATACATCGTGTCAACCATTAGTGCCGCATGTGGCAGCAAAATGTCTTTAACTAGGGAAGCAAACCTAATCGATCCTGCTGAATAAAGCACCTAGATATGAGAGAAATCATCAATAAAAAAGAAGTCACTCGAAAGGGAAGTTTTCTCGCTGAAAAAACATGACTTTTTATTGGACGTTACGCAATGTAAGGCTGAAGACATTCACGCCGTGATCGGTACAGAAGCATTTGCTTAGTAATCGGTTGTGCGTGATAAAAACAGCAAAAACAAAGGTGGATTAGAAATGCGATAGATTCTCCTTTGCATGGAGTACTTACGCTTAAAATCGTGTCAACATAAAGCCAGTATGGCCCACCTTGCTAGGAGCAATCTTAAAATGTATTCGTGTAGTCTACACACCCACCAACCGAAAGCGTTGCTGCAAGTCTCTTCGCCGTCAACTTTGAGTCGCTGTCGAGCCTGAAGAACTGCTCTATGAGGCCCATATGCAGCCACTTAGCGCACACACAAGCACAGGAGGTAACTCGGTTCCAAGTACAAACGAAGAGCCTGGGCGGAAAGCTCTGAGTGCCAAACGAGCAGCGTCGGGTGACGGCGACTGACTGCGTAGTACAAAGGCTGCCCTCCTACGCCTGCATCGCTGCGGTGGGCGGTCGTTGCTAGTCGTATCAGATCGTGTCACCT